TTTTTTTTTTTTAATTCCTATGGTGAGGATCTAACCCAGGGTATTGGGCATGCCAGGCAAACTTTCTACCAGTGAGCTACACCCCCAGCCCATAGATTGATAACTTTGGGCAGAGATGATACCTTTTTTTCCCAATTGTGGTTGATTTGACTTTTTTTTTTTTAAAACCATAGGTGATATTTCTAAGTTGCCTACTTGTGAAAGCTGTTAGAAGTAGCATCACAGAGTATCACCTGGCTGTCAAATCTCATTGCCCATGTTTGAAATGCTAAGATGTATAATTGATAGGAACTGACCTTGTTGCTTTAAAACATATCCATGATGATGATTCTCTTGTTTGTCTTCCTCCTTCCTTTTCAGGAGGATGAAACTGATGTCTCTGAAGAGGTCAAGGAAACACGGGTAAGTGACAAGCCAGTGAGGCATATCTCTTTAGGGCTCAATCTTGCTTTGATGCATATGATTTTAATAGAAGAGCAGGACCTATGCAAATTGGAGCTGAGGAGGAGTTTGGAGATAGACATTCCTCAGAGAGGCATGGCAGGTGTTAGATGGTGGTACTTCCTCCTGTGGTGTAACAATGCCCATACTCTTAAACAGATTTCCAGCTTCTGTGTGCCAGCTGCTAATCTCTGACACCATTACAGGCTCCATCTTTTTCTCTTGAATGTTATTGGATTGTAAAGTACTTTGAAATCTTTGGAAGAAAAATAAAAAGTGGTATTTTTATGGATCTACATTGATAAAGAGGAACATAATATATAAGTGTGGAGTATGTAAAACATCAGATAGTCTAAAAGTCATTTATATTTGACTGTGAAATAAGGTTAAGCACCTCACCTCTTCTAAAGCCCTGACCTCATAAAGCTTAGCCTCCATCTGCAGGCCTGTACCCAGCATTCTTAAAAATAATCCAGGTTCTTGTGAACCACTCCAATGCCATAGAATACTGGGGGTTTTCTTCTTTTTACAGTTTCACAGGAAGGAAGGAATTTGGTTTTGACTAAATTAATTGAAATACATGTGCTTTCCTGTGAGAAATTACATAAAATGATGACCTTTTTAATACTCCACAATTTATTGGACTTGTATTCTTAGAATACACTTATCAACCCTTAATAATTAACAATTAACTCATTTTTAACAGAAGAGAGATGAATAAGACATTGTCATCAACTCACCTGCATTTTAGCCAAGATCCAAAATAATCAATAATAGACTTTCAAAAAGCAGTATCTGTAATGACTTACAGTAACACCAGTGAGAATTGCCTACTCTGGGTTGAAGCTGAGGCTACTTCACAAAGATGAGCTGTGTTATGTGGAAATAGCACATAGCTATTCCCTTAAGACGTGTGTATGTGTGTGTGTGTGTGTGTGTGTGTGTGTGTGTGTGTGTGTATTTGCATGCATGCAAACAACAGCAACTCATAGATTCTTTAAAAATCTTGGATAGGATTTTGCATATAGAGAGAATGAATATAGAGAAGTTCCTTTGGGGAATTATGCTTAAGCAGAGAATTTGAGTAATAGATTACAGAGCACTGAAATGCATTATAATCCCTAGAGGATTGTACAGGCCATTTAAATTAATAGATTACAACAAGGAAGGTTTGATGTCATAGAATGTCTTTTGTCAGTGAAAATCTTTGTCTCTACTTTTCAAAATTTCTCAGCCCTGGAAAGTCCTAACCTCAAGTACCAAGTAATGAAAACTATAATGATTTTAATGCAGTAGTTCTCATGGAATTTCATCTTAGGACCATTCACATAAAATAATAGAAAAAAACTTTTTGGTTTGTGACGAAAAGCAGAGACTATTGAGGTTTGCTGTGAAAGTCATTTGTCAGGCTGAAAAATATTCCACTCTTCCAATTGCTTTAAGGCATCTACTAGTATTTACCATGTGTCAAGCAGATTTCAGTGTGACTTTTAAGAACAAACAGCCTATTACCTCTAGATTGGTAACTTTGTACGCAGGTAAGGTAAGGTTGGTACAAGCATATTCCAGGTACCATTCTCTAGTCCCACCCACAGTTCTGCAGAAGGAAAGACTGGTGATGAGTTGGTAAAGGGAGAGGCTTCCTTTTTTGAAAAGTCTTCAACTCTAGTTTATTTCAATTAAACTGTTTATCTGATTTTCTCTTCAGAGCGCTTGCTTCTAATGCTAGCAGGTTTGAAACCATTATCCATTATGGGCTGCAGAACAACACACCTAATGATGACCCAGTGTAAATTGCTGCAATTCTAGTTCAAGACAGTCACCAGTATGTTATGAATCTTAGACCACTCTCTGCCCTACTTTCATGTTCATCCATCAGGCAGTATCATAGACTCAGCTCTGTAGCAATAAATGAGAGGACATTCTGTGGAAATGGCCCTGTTAGCTAATAAGCATGAATTTTGCTGAAAAGCCAGGGCAGTTCTTTTCTTTCTTGATTTTGATTTAGTAAAACTGTATCTGCTATTAAAGTCACTTAAGCTCCCTACTCTCCTCTAACCTTCTCCTTGAGAGTTTTGATATCTATTATTTTTTAAATTCACACTTCCCAAGACTCTGACATCTTTTTCTTTTTTTCTTTTTTGTGGTGTTGAGATTTGAACCCAGGGCTTTGCAAGTGCTAAGCAACAACTCTACCACTGAGGTAGCCCCATAGTTAGTTCATGACATCTTATTTTTTTAACTGAGATATAAATTTACAATCAATAAAATACATACATTTTAAATGTCATTTGGTGAGTTTTGACACTTGCATATACTAGTATAAACCACAATCCAAATCAAGATATAAAACTTTTCCCTTACCTTAAAAAGTTTCCTCTTATCATTATGTTAAGTGAAATAAGCCAAAGTCAGAAGGTCAAGTGTCATATGTTTTCTCTCATCTATGGAAGCTAGAGAGGAAAAAGGAAAAGAAAGGTGGGGGGTGATCCACACGAAAAGCAAAAGGAGATCAATAGAGCAGAGAAAGGCGACCAGGAGCTGGGAGGAGGGGAGGAAGAGGAAAAGCGCTGGGGAGGGATATTGGTCAAATCATATTGTTATACTTTGTGCATGTACTAATATGTAACAACAAATCCCCCCCTTTATGTACAGCTGTAATGCACCAAGAAAAAAAAAAGATATTTAAAAACAAAGTTTCCTCTTGCCACTTTCTAATCAATTCCCTGTCCTGAGAAGCAACCATTCTAATTTCTGTCTCTATAAATTAGCATTGTCTGTTCTTTAACTGTGTGTGTCTGTGTTTGTCTATGTGCGTGCATATATATGAATGTACTGCTTCTTAAGAGTGAGGATATGGCCAGGCCCAGTGGCACACACCTGTAATCCCAGTGGCTCAGGAGCCTGAGGCAGGAGGATCGAGAGTTCAAAGTCAGCTTTGGCAACAGCAAGGTGCTAAGCAACTCAGTGAGACCCTGTCTCTAAATAAAATACAAAGTAGGGCTGAGGATGTGGCTCAGTGGTTGAGTGTTGTGAGTTCAATCCCCAGTAAACCACCTCCCCCCCAAAAAAAGTGATGATATGTCAGTGTTATTTACATGTGTACACACATATGTATATATACACACATATATCTATATATGTATATGCACACATATATGAAATCATCCAGTAATATTTAATTTTAGGTTAGAAAGGAAAGTTCAATTATTATTATCTCTATTTGTGTCTCTAATCAGGGTTAGAGCTAAGATGATTCCAAATATATATTGATTTCCCCCCATCTTCTTAAAGATTTTATGAGATTCTTTAATTTCTCATCCCTATATCAGTAACAACAGCATGATTAATAAGCCTTTCTATTATTAAACTAAATCTCTGCTGATATCATTGAAATTCATTCCTCTTTATATACTTAGAAAAATGTAACCAAAATGTAAACACCAATTAATATTTAGGGCCAGGCATGGCCTGATGTTTGCTATCTAAAGATAGAAGTCACATATTGCTATACTAGTGTCAGTAAAGAGCAAGAAATATGATGAGAAGACTGGGGGCCTTGCCTACATCCAACATAGTGCATGGTTTTCATCAAAACCCATCCCCAGTGGTAATTCCATCAGCTGGTAAGATAGACAAAGACTGTATATTGATATTGAAGCACCTCCTTGACAGATATGTTTATAGCAATTCTCTTTCATTATCCACATTAGGTATGGGCTAGTCTCTGTAAATCTTAAGATATCCTTTGTCTTTCTAAGTGAAGAGGAAACTGAATCTAATTTTAATTTGAGAAGAGGTTATTTCAGTCATATCTAAAAATGCTTTTATATTCAAGAATGTATTTACTATTTACTGTATAGTGGTCTCCCTACTCCATGGGAGATACTTTCCCTCACCCTAAGGAGATGGCTGAAACCACAGGTAGTACTGAACCCTACATGTGCTATACTTTTTCATATTCATACATACCTATGATGAAGTTTTATTTATATTAAACATAGTAAGAGAGTAACAACAAGAACTAATAATAAAATAGAACAGTTACAACTAAAATTAAATTACCACTATCTCTACTCCTGTGCTTTGGCATCATTATTAAGTAAAATAAGAGTTACTTGGACACCAGTACTATGTGATATCAGTGTCTTAACAGTTGGTCAGAAGGTTACTAAATGACTAACAAGCAGTAGTATACACAACATGGATACCCTGGACAGAGGGATAATTCATGTCTCTGGCAGGGCAGGGTAACCAGATAGCATGAGATTTCATCATACTACTCCAGAAAATACAATTTTAAAACTATGAGCTATTAACTTCTGGAATTTGCATTTAATATTTTCAGACAGTGGCTGACTGTGAGTAACTTAAACCAAAGCAAAACCACAGATAAGGGTTTTGCATAGCAGGTGCTCTGGAGGGAATGATCATAGGCACATCAGGGAAGGTGGTGACCATTTCAGTTCTCTCCACCTTTTATTTGTGTGTCTTTGGACTGACTTTTGCTTTACTATGAGTTTTATCTACTGAATTCTGGTTTTCCCCCATTTACTCCTCTGCAGTAGTCTATTTTTTAATCTGATCCTGTTGTGTAATTGAATTCATCACTAGAGGGCACAAGTGGTCAACAGAAAAGATGTTGGTGAGCAAGCAGAATGGTGCCCTGAAGAAGCTGAACCTAAACAAATTGCTCCTGTTTTAAAAGAATTGCTGAAGAATTGCTGAAGTTCAGTGTAGTAAAGGTATTTGCCACCCCACTTTTGGTCTCATAGAATTGAAAGGGAATTTATAGATAACTTGATTTAGGAGCCTCATTTCATAGTTGAGAAAACGGAGACCAGAGAAGTTAATAACGTGGGGATGAGAAACCTGTGCAAGGAAAAGCATCCTGTATCCTGCATCAGGGAACGTTTTCATTTGATGGTAATATGCAGACCTGGAATTAGGGCTTATGTCCT